ACGCTGATGATCACAAGGCTGAAGTGCCTTGGTGAAAACATCAGCAGTGTTGGCCCCAGTGGCCACGTAAGCAAGACGAAGCTGACCACGCTGCTGCAACTCTCGAGCAAGGAAGTAGCGCAGAGCGATGTGCTTCGTTCTGTGCTCCAGTCTGTGTTCCTGACACAAGGCAATCATGGCCTTGTTGTCGACGTACAGCACTGGAGGAGAACGAGGCGGCTCTCCCAGGTCGGTTAGCAGGTAGGTGAGCCAGCGTAACTCCTGTGCAGCCATGGTCCCTGCGTAGATCTCAGCCTCACAACTGGAGCTGAGAACAGAAGACGAGCGGGTAGACCGCCAAGAGACAGAGCCGGAGACAAGGCTGAAGGTGTAACCCTGTGACGACCGCTGCGTAGTCAAGTCGTCAGCCCAGGAAGGGTCTGCGTGACCAGTGAGGACAACTCGAGCCCGTCCTCCAAGCACGAGCCCCATGCCCGACGTACTGCAGAAGTAGCGCAACACCCTCTTAGCTGCATCCATGTGCTCCTTCCTGTGTCTGCCAGGAGCGACATAGCGTGCTAGAATGCTAAGAGGGTAGGCAAGGTCAGGTCGAGTGCAGGTCATCAGGTACATGAGGCAGCCCAAAAGCTCTGGATACGGGCCACTCGGCTCTACGGACTCGTCCGAAGGTGGAGCTGAGAGGGAGTGACCGGTAGGCAGAGGAGTGGACTGTGGCGAGGAGTACGTGAAGCCGAAGCGCTGAAGGACTTGCTGCACCATGTGTGACTGGGTCAAGGTAATGGTGCGCTGTGCTCTGTCCCGGGTGATCCGCAAGCCAAGATAGCTTGTCAGCTCACCCATGTCTGTGCACGTGTGTCTCTTCTGTAGCTCCGACTTCACGTGGGCGAGTGCCTCAGTGTCAGCAGTAGCAAAGACCAAGTCGTCTACGTACACGAGAACGTAGAACGGCGGCAGAGTGGTGTCGGTGCGTAGAAACAGCAACGGGTCAGCAGTGGAAGGAGCAAACCCAAGAGCAGCAAGAGTCGTCCTCAGTGTGTCGTGCCACTCACGGGGTGCCTGGCGGAGACCGTAGACTGGTCGCTGGAGGCTCCACTGGGTACCAGCAGGAAACGACCCAGTGAAGCCAGGTGGGCGGCGCAGCCAGATCTCCTCGTGCAGGCTGCCCTGTAGGAAGGTTGTGCAGAAGTCAAGAGAGTGTAGCTCATAGTCACGCTGAGCGGCGACGTGCAGAAGCACCCGAAGAGTGGTCATCTTCGGGGTAGGGGAGAAGGTCTGGAAGAAGTCAAATCCCTGTCGCCGACTGAAGCCTCATGCAACGTAACGCGCCTTGAAGACAGGCGGAGAACCCGGCGGCCGCTTCACCCTGAAAATCCACATGCCAGTGACGATGTTCGCCCCAGGCGGGGGAACCTCGTCGACGTAGGTGCCTGTGGACTTCCAGGAAGCCATCTCTGTGTCCATGGATGTCTGACACTAAGAGGAGTAGGGACCCTCTATCGCCTCTGCGTAAGAGCGCGGGGTCGGGATGTCTGGTGCATCCGGGTCTCCCTCAGGGGCAAGCAACATGGAGACGAGATGAGGTAAAGCAGCGGCAAAGCACTCAAACTCCTCCTGTCTGTCCTTAAGGACGTCCGTGCCAAGAGCACACTCACCCCCGACGGACGGAGGACAGACAGACGCAGACTCAGACTCAGCAACAAGACTAGCGGCGTAGTCTAGACGACATGCGGCAGCAAAGTCAACAAGCTCAGCAACTAGAGCAGACACAGCAGTGGACTCTGTGAAGAAATGAGGAATGATTGACTAGGAAACGAGTTGGGTACAAATATGAAACCCTAGGAAACTGTACCCCATAGTGTCTACCCCGCTACAGGCTAAATAGACTATAGCATATAAGTTTGACACACCCCCATAGGCAAAGTGGGGGAGATCAAGGGGTCACAAGACCAGTCAAACAATGCAAATCAAAGCAAGCTCAGGGTGGATCACAACGTCACCAAACATTCCGAGCACAGGTTCAAAGGCCACAAGGCCAGTTCACATGCTGGGTTATATATAAAAGGTAAACAAGCAGGTGCAGGTATATATAGATCACAGTACAAGTAAAGTCAAGAGGTAAGCAAGTGAGGCCAAGTAGGCACAAGACCTAACATAGTACAGAAGCGCTGATGATCACAAGGCTGAAGTGCCTTGGTGAAGATATCAGCAGTGTTGGCCTGAGAGGCCACGTAAGCAAGGCGCAGCTGACCACGCTGCTGTAGCTCACGAGCAAGGAAGTAGCGAAGAGCAATGTGCTTTGTTCTGTGCTCCAGTCTATGCTCCCGACACAAGGCCAGCATGGCCTTGTTGTCTACGTACAGAACTGGAGGAGAACGAGGCGGCTCTCCCAGGTCAGTCAGCAGCTAGGTGAGCCAGCGTAACTCCTGTGCAGCCATGGCCCTTGCGTAGATCTCAGCCTCACAGCTGGAGCTGAGAACAGAAGACGAGCGGGTAGACCGCCACGAAACAGAGCCTGAACCAAGGCTGAAGGTGTTGTTATAGTCACAATAGCCTTGAATGTGCCTAAAACCAAAGATAGAGAGCACAGACGGATTTCTGCACAGCGGCTTCAAACGTTGATAGCGTTCTGCTCACAGCTGCAAATGACTTGATTAAAATTGGATCTGGAGCGTCTTGACGTCGCCTACAATAAGCAATTTAGATTGCACGATTTCATAAAGAATTGACGACGCAACGTCGGTTTGAACGAACGGTACTATGGCAGCCACTATAGTCTTAGAACACAAGATAGGAAGAGTTACGAGTTGGGAATGACTCCCAGCTCCTACAAACCCCAAGAGCCGAGGTACAGTGATGTGGAACAGTGCCACACTGTCCCCAACCACGAAGGGTCTCGGAACTACCCTCCACAAGGGCCTACACCAAGAGAAATGTTACACTACATAAAGTAATGCAACTATTCTCACTATCTTAAAGTTTACCCTTTTGGAGAGCTTCGAAATGACTTGATTCTTGAAACCAAGGCTCCGGTTCTTCAAGGTAAATTCTTCCTTGAGTTCTTGGAAGTCTGCTGCGCACACCTGCGACACGCCGAACGTTCCACACACGACAAAATAGAAAACCGCACACGACACGCAAACAACGACGTCGCACGCAACTAGCGATAACTCGCTATTGACTCGACACACACATTCAAAATCATGCCTCATCATTCACACACTATTGTAAGCATGAAATATATATTATTTCATGCCCTCATGCCATTCCATGCACACACGCATGCATGCACACGGACAACAAGCCGAATGCAAACCGTAGGGTTGCACCAACAGGTGTAACCCTGTGACGACCGCTGCGTAGCCAGGTCGTCAACCCAAGACGCGTCTGCGTGACCAGTGAGGACCACTGGACTCCGCCCTCCAAGCACGAGCCCCATGCCCGACGTACTGCACAAGTAGCGCAACACCCTCTTCGCTGCAGCCATGTGCTCTGGTCGGTGTCTCCCAGGAGCAACATAGCGTGCCAAGATGCTAAGAGGGTATGCCAGGTTAGGACGAGTGCAGGTCATCAGGTACATGAGGCAGCCAACAAGCTCTGGGTACGGGCCACTCGGCTCTACAGACTCATCCGAAGGCAGAGCTGAGAGCGAGTGGCGAGTAGACAGAGGAGTGGCCTGAGGCGAGGAGTACGTGAAGTCAAAGCGCTGAAGGACCTGCTGCACCATGTGTGACTGAGTCAGGGTAATGGTGCGCCGTGCTCTATCCCGGGTGATCTGCAAGCCAAGATAGCTGCGCAGTTCACCCAGGTCTGTGCACGTGTGTCTCTTCTGTAGCTCGGACTTCACATGGGCGAGTCCAGCAGTGTCAGCCGTAGCAAACACCAAGTAGTCAACGTATACGAGGATGTAGAACTGCGGCAGCAAAGTGTCGGTGCGCAGAAAGAGCGACGGGTCAGCAGTAGAACGAGCAAACCCAAGAGCCGCAAGCGTAGTCCTCAGTGTGTCGTGCCACTCACGGGGCGCCTGGCGGAGACCGTAGACTGGCCGCCGGAGGCTCCACTGGGTACCAGAAGGAAACGACCCAGTGAAGCCAGGTGGGCGGCGCAGCCAGATCTCCTCGTGCAGGCTGCCCTGTAGGAAAGCAGTGCTGAAGTCAAGAGAGTGAAGCTCGTAGTCACGCTGAGCAGCAACGTGCAGCAGAACCCGAAGAGTGGTCATCTTCGGGGTCGGGGAGAAGGTCTGAAACTAGTCAACTCCCTGCCGCTGATTGAAGCCTCGAGCCACGTAACGCGCCTTGAAGACAGGCGGAGAACCCGGCGGCCGCTTCACCCTGAAAATCCACATGCCACTGACGATGTTCACCCCAGGTGGGGGAACCTCGTCGACGTAGGTGCCTGTGGACTTCCAGGAAGCCATCTCTGCGTCCATGGCTGACTGCCACTGAGAGGAGTAGGGACCCTCTATCGCCTCTGCGTAAGAGCGCGGGGTCGGGATGTTTGGTGCATCCGGGTCTCCCTCAGGGGCAAGCAGCATGGACACGAGATGAGGTACAGTAGCGGCAAAGCACTAAAACTCCTCCTGCCTTTCCTCAAGGACGTCCGTGCTAAGAGCACACTCACCCCCGACGGACGGAGGACAGACAGACTCAGACTCAGCAACAAGACTAGCGGCGTAGTCGAGACGACAGTGAGCAGCGAAGTCGACAAGCTCAGCAACTAAGGCAGACGCAGCAGTGGACTCAAAGGAAGGGTCAGTGACAACAATGGCCAGGAGACGCGTGACAGTAGGACTGGCAGCACGAAGGGAGTCAGACTCCGGGTCAGCAAGAGCAAGAAGAGAGGACTCTGGAGGAGACAGCAAAGGGACACGCTACGGAGCAGTGGAAGGACGCAGTGCCATGTGGTGCATGCCCGGGACCGCAGGAGGACGCGGATGTGGAACACGACGACCAGTGCGAGCAGCACGAACAGGTGACGCAGGACGCGACTCAGGCTCACGACGCTCAGCAAGACCTCCAGTAGGACCAGCGTAGGGAGAAGGAGCAGGCAGTGGGGAGGCCAGCTGTAATTGCGACTCGGACTGGACAGGCGGTGGACACTCTAAGGAAGGAGCAAAACCAGAAGAAGGCGGAAGACCAAGAACCTGCTCAAGGAGCGGAACGAAGTACGGCCGCGGTCGCGCAGTGCCTCGAGAACCAGCAGGGACAGCACCAGCACCCCCAGCGTCAGCTCCAACCCCTGCAGCACCACCAGCACCAGCAGCACCTCTAGCAGCTCCAGTAGCGCCAACTCCAGCACCCACAGGAGAACTGGCTCCAACAGCACCTCCAGCTCCAGTACCGCCAGCAGCTCCAGCTCCAGCAGGACCACCGGAAGACGCAGCAGCTCCGGCTCCAGTACCTCCAGTAGCACCGACTCCAACAGCACCGCCAGCTCCAGCTCCGCCAGCAGCTCCAGCACCAGGGGCACCACCAGGCCCAGCAGCTCCAGTACCTCCAGTACGAGCACCTCCGGGACCCGTGGCTCCAGCACCCCCAGCAGCAGGAGAACCCCCAGCACCGGCAGCACCACCAGCTCCAGCAGCACGTCTCCAGCGCCGAGCAAACCACTCGCACAGCTCCTGTGGAGAGGGCAGCTCCCGCCGGGACGAAGCAACCGAAGTACCTCCAGGTCCAGCACCGTCAGGCTCCGCACCCCCACACTCAGCAACCCCAGGCTCAGCACCCCCAGACCCAGCACCCCCAGGCTCCGCACGCTCAGGCTCAGCACCCCCAGGCTCCACACGCTCAGGCTCAGCACCCCCAGACCCAGCACCCCCAGGCTCCGCACTCTCAGGCTCAGCACCCCTAGCAGCACCAGAGTCAACAGCTACCTCGACAGGCTCGACTGCGTCTACCTGGGACACACCTGAGGGGGCACGACCCTGAGGGGGGAGGGGGTCTACCGGGGGGGGACCGGGCGCGAGGAAGAGCGGCGGGAAGGGGGAGGGGGGCAGCGCGGTAGGGGAAGAGACGGTAGTACGGAACCGACTCGTCAAACGTGACGTCCTGGGAGGACAGAACACGGCGCAAGGTAGGGTGGTAAAACTGCCAACCAGGCGCGTCAAGGGGGAAGCCAAGGAAGACGCAAGGAACAGCACGGGAGGACACCTTGTCCGCAGACAAGTCACGGACGAAAGCTCGAGATCCCCAGACACGGAACGCAGACGCATCGCCAACCTTCCCCGTCCACCGCAGAGTAGGGGAGGTCTCCGACATCGAGACCTGGGGCTGAAGGTTGATCTGATGCGCCGCGTACTGAACCGCGAACGGCCACAGAAAATGGGGAGCAGCCGCATGGATCATGGACGTACGAGCGACGTCCATGACCATGCCAATGCGGCGCTCAGCAATCCCATTTTGCTGTGGAGAGGCCGGAAGCGTGAACGTCTGGCGGATGCCCTCCGCACGACAGAAGGCTCGCAGAAGGTCGGAGGAAAACTCTCCACCTCTGTCGGAGTGCAGACGCAGAACAGGAAAGTCCGAGCCGAAACGCTCTCTGAGCTGGAGACGAGCAACGCGGATCCAGTCGATCAACACCTCAGTGACCTCACCCTTGCGGCGCAAGGGGAAGACTGAGGTGTAACGCGAGAAGTCGTCAACCACCAGCAGGAAGTAACGCTCGTGACCCTGTCCACGGACGCGGGCTGGGCCCCACACGTCCATGTGGAGAGTCTGCAGCGGAGCCTCTGTCGGAGGAAACTCGGAGGTGTGAGGAGCGGCGCGCTGCCGCCCCTCGACGTAGGGAACGCACGTAGGGGCAGGCCCTGGGGGAAGGGGAGGGAGGGACCGGGGGAGACCAGAGACAAGGACACGAGAGGCCATGCCTCGGAGACGAGGCAAGGAGGGGTGACCAAGGCGGTGGTGCCAGAGGAGGGTCTGGTGGGACAGGAGGCGACACGAGCAGGGGGCAGGCTCAGGACCTGACCGAGACGCTGCAGCAAACACCTGACCCGACGCAGCAACCGGAGGAGACTCTGTGGTCAGTGTGTACAGGCTCGACCCGGGCCGACGGGTAAACGTGGCCAAGTGGTGGCCCGTCCGAGCACACGTGCAGTGGGTCACTCGCTGACTCGCAGGAGTGAACTGGTCAACTCCTCCATCCTGAAGGTCAGCACCACTCGCCAAGTTCGTAGAGAATGAGGGGAGGTAGAGACCGGACAGGGAGCCTGACGGGGCCGCCGGACACGGTAGGACAGTGGAGTAGTGGGCAAGGACAGGACCCCCAGAGGGGTCTGCCAGGGAGACTGCAACCGGCCGACTGAGCGGCGTGAGTGTGGTGCGGTCTCGAAAGAAGGAGCGGGAAGCACCTGAGTCGAGGGTGAAGGTGTGCAAAACCTGAGCCGACGCGGTACCTGAGAGAGCAGACTCACCAGCACCTGGAGCAGCAGACTCACTAGCACCTAGAGCAGCGGCCTCAATGCCCGGGTCAGGCAGAACACACACGTAACAGTCACCCTCAGCACTAATAGACACAACATACATGGCAGCAAGGATAGCATCAAAATCAAGATCAAAGATAGCTACACCCGACCTGAACAGATCACCTCAGCGAGGGATCTCAGTGGCGTCAGGGAACTGGGTACGCCAGGCGTCTGTCAGGCGGCCGAAGCAGCGCTGGGTGGCGTACAGGCCGCCGCACGGCTCCCCAGTGCGGTCGCCGGTGCGCAGGACGTAGGCACAGGGACCAGCACCTTCAGACCTTTGGCGCCCTGCGTACCACTCACGAAGCTGCTGGGGCGACGGGGTCTCACGAGAGCGTGGCTGGTGCTGGGGTCCCCGCTGCACAGCTTCGCCTCGACCAGCTCCACCTCCGCCGCCGCCGCCTCCGCCGCCTCCACCCCAACCGCCAACGCCGCCGCCGCCTCCACCTCCACCGCCGCCACCGAAGCCCCCACCTCCGCCACCACCCCCACACCCACCCCCTCCTCCGCCTCCACCGCCACCACCGCCGCCCCCGCCAACTCCTCCAGCGCCCTTGCCCCCCTTGCCCTTGCCGTTGCGGCGCCTCTCACTAGGAGCAGACGCAGCGCTGACCGACTTGGTGCCAACGAGGTCGACAGCAGCAGCAGAGGCAACGGAGGGCAAAAGGGGAACGGGGGAGCACCCCTCAAAGAAAGGGGTACGGGGGTCACCACAGAGGCTCCTACAGCGGTAATACTCGTCTCAGCTGCAAGGAGGTGCTCCTCGAGGAGGTCAACGGTGAGTGTGGTGGGGCAAAGAGAGAGGAAGTGGTCCCTGACGGAGCGAAGGGTGTCAGGGAGTCGGGTGACTAGGTAGTAGAGGGTGATGTACATGGGGGGGGGGTTCTTGGTGCAGAACTCAGCAGGAAGCGCAGCGCGGTAGCGGGTGTCACTAGTGCGGAGGTGCGTAATGAGTTCAGCGACTGTGGCAAAGGCGGCGAGGTCAGGGAACAGGTACGGCAGCATGAGGCGGCTAAGGGCAGCAGTGGCAGGGGAGGAGTAGCGTGCAACTACAGCGTCGTACAGAGTCTTAGCACTCTTGTACTGACTAAAGTGCGCGCGCTTAGTGGACGGTAGGTGACTACGCACAGCAAGGCGGGCAGCAGCATCACGCGTGGTCCACTGCGAGCGAACAGTACTGTGAGCATCAGCAGCAGGGGCAGTAGAGGCGCCAGACGTGAGATCGAACAGTGAGAGACCATCCTTGCTATCGCACTGTAGGAAAAGCTGCAGATCATCTACCCAGACCTCAAAGTCGACCGCTCGACCCTCAGCATCGAAGGTAAGAACAGTGGGACTAGCCATGACAGTAGCAGCAGTAGGCTAGTAGCAGCAGCAGTAGTGCGACTTGGCTAAGCGGCGTGGCTCGGCAGGGCAGCGCGGCTCAGCAGGGCGGGGCGGCTCGGCGGTGCTCTTACCAGGGGCGGTTGGGTAGGCGGCCGCGACTGGTGGGGCAGGGCCGTGGTGCGCCGGCAGGGTCAGGGCCGCAACAGGGCGACAGGGCAGGGCCGCGACTCGGCTGCAAGGCAGGGCCAGGACGGCGGCGAGAGCGGCAGCGACGGCGGCAGCGGCTGGCACGCCCCGGTAGCTGCTGCAGGTGGGAGGCCGCGACGGGGCCGCGATAGGCGACGGGGCCGCAACAGGCGACGGGGCAGGGCCGAGGCGGGGCCGCGACGGGGCCGCGACAGGCGACGGGGCAGGGCCGGGGCAGGGCCGCGACGGAGCCGCGACGGGGCCGCGACAGGCGACGGGGCAGGGCCGAGGCGGGGCTGCGACGGGGCCGCGACGGGGCCGCACAGGCGACAGGGCAGGGCCAGGGCGGGGCCGCGACGGGGCCGCGACGGGCGACGGGGCAGGGCCGAGGCGAGGCCGTGACGGGGCCGCGACGGGGCCGCGACGGAGTCGCGAAGGGGCCACGAAGGGCTGCGACGAGCAGCAGGGCAGAGCGCGAAACGCGCTTCGGGCAGGGCAGAAAAAAAAGATTTTAGCGAAGTGGTGGGCCCTAGGAAAAAAAACGGTCCCACTAGGGAACCCGCTCTATACCATGTGAAGAACTGGGGAATGATTGACTAGGAAACGAGTTGGGTACAAATAAGAAACCCTAGGAAACTGTACCCTATAGTGTCTACCCCACTACAGCCTAAACAGACTATAGCATATAAGTTTGACAGACTCAAACGAAGGGTCAGTGACAACAGTGGCCAGAAAACGCGTGACAGTAGGACTAGCAGCATGAAGGGAGTCAGACTCCGGGTCCGGACCGTCAGGAAGAGAGGACGCAGGAGGAGACGGTAGAGGGACACGCTGTGGAGCAGTGGAAGGACGCAGAGTCATAGAGTGAGTGCCGGGGACAGGAGGAGGACGCTGATGCAGAACACGACGACCAGTGCGAACATCGCAAACAGGCGACTCAGGACGAGAATTAGGTGACGCAGGACGAGACTCAGGCGACGCAGGACGAGACTCAGGCTCACGACGCTCCGTAAGACCTCTAGTCGGTCCAGAGTAAGGAGAAGGAGTGGAGAGGTTGGCTGTAACTGTGACTATAACTGGACAGGCGGTGGACTCAGTAAGGGAGGAGTAGGACCAGTAGAAGGCGGGAGACCAAGAACCTGCTGAAGGAGCGGAACGTAGTACAGCCGCGGCCGCGCAGCGCCTCCAGAAACAGCAGAGACAGCACCAGTACCCTCAGCTCCAAGGTCTCCAGCTACAACTCCCGCAGCACCACCAGCTCCAGTACCTCCAACAGCTCCAGCTCAAGCACCACCTCCAGTAGCAACAGCTCCAGCACCTACAGCTCCAACTCCTGCAGCACCAGCAGCCCCAGCAGCTCCAGCACCTCCAGCTGCTCCAGCACCTCCAGCTGCTCCAACACCACCAGGGCCTCCAACAGCGCCAGTACCTCCAGCACGAGCACCTCCAGGACCAGCCGATCCAGCAGCTCCAGCACAAGCGGCACCTCCAGCAGCTCCAGCTCCAGAAGCACCTCCAGCAGCAGGCCCCGTAGCTCCAGCAGCACGGGTACAGCGCCGAGCGTACCACTCACGTAGCCGCTGCGGAGAGAGGGGCTCCCACCGTGACGGGACACCCGGAGGACCTCCAGACTCAGGCTCAGCACCCCCAGGCTCAGCACCCCCAGGCTCAGCACCCCCACGCTCCACACGCTCAGGCTCAGCACCCCCAGACTCAGCAACCCCAGGCTCAGCACCCCCAGGCCCCGCACCCGCAGGCTCAGCACCCCTAGCAGCACCAGAGTCGACAGCTACCTCGAAAGGCTCAACAGGGTCTACCTGGGACACACCTGAGGGGGGAGGGGGTCTACCTGAGGAGCACCTCGTGCTAGGAAGAGTGGCGGGGGGGGGAGAGGGGCAGTGCGGTAGGGAAGGAGACGGTAG